ATAAATCACAACCTTAGCGTAAAAAGTGGCGTACGCAAGTTTCTGGGCTCAAATTGTGCGTACGCCAGTTTTATAAATCTGACCCCTGGCACTTTTTGATCTTCATTCTTTCAATTCATTTTTGTAGCAGTGCTCAACATGGCTCCAGATTCTACAATTGTTCCCAGTTTTGCTCGACTGATCTGTTTTCCTCCCACCGTTACTGCAGGTTTCTGGACAACTCATGAAGAGCTGAAGAAGCTGCAGAGCACCGACAAGGTGTTCCTGCCCAAAGGTATTGCCAAGGAGGGGTCCAACCAGGAGTACAACCCAGTCCTCCAGAGGTGGGAGAGAGCTCTGCGGCGCTCCATGAACTGGTACAAACCCTGAGCCACACAAGGGTATTAGGTTCCTCTCAACCTGCAGCTACACGTCCCATCTCTAACTGGTGAATAATGTGAGTCTTTAAGGCAGAAGGTTTGTGTTGATGGAGACATTTACCAGTTAGTGTCTCTGAACTTTACCTCCTCATCAGGTTGAATCCAAGTAACAGAAAAACTGTCTGATCAGAGGTTGGTTTCTGATCTGAAGTCGCTGCTGCTTTTTCTTTTCTTTTCCAGAAAAAAAACATGTTTTCCTTCTTGTCTTCTGGGGGCGCTAATGCCTGGCGTTACACCCTTTTTATTCCTATCCTCACCATAGCAACAGGCCTGAAAGCTAAACGTTAATCTGAGGACAGAGACTACAACTGTTTCCATGAGTCACACATCATCCTTGGTTTGATTTAAAAAAAACAATAACTTGTTTTTTTGTGTGTTCATAACACCTCAGGTTTGGTATTTTAACGCTGATACATCTTTTCTTTGTGAAGGAACAGCTTTGTAATTTAATATGTTTGAATTGTTATGGTTTAATCATATGTGGATCCCTGGATGAATACTTGATTCCTTCTGAAAATTTGAAGCAATTTAATTTCGTACCAGATCATTTCTGTGTATTTTATTACAAAACTCTGTACTGATCATGTTTAAATGTTAAACACTGATTCCACTGTAATCTGTGTTTAAATATAGCCAAATGTTGAGCTTTAATGTCATTACTGTCAGAAATTACTTGGGTTTTTTTCATACACATCTATTTGCAATGAACTGCAAAAGGTATTGCACTAAAATAGTTTTAGGAATAAAATCAGACTCTTTTGAACATGTTACAGTATTTTAGTATTTTTTCATCAGGGATAGAATATTGATTGAACTGGTTAAAACTGCAGAAATGAGACATTCCTACAGGTTTTATTGATTCTGTATCGTTTCTGTTTTACCCGATGTTGATGGCTCTTTGAAAATATCCGTTTGGAGAAACAGTTGTTTTAAAATCCACTTGAGAAGCAGCTTCACTCTGACTATAATAGTTAAACCTGTCCACTTCACAATTGGATCGCTGTTGTTTGTAAAACAGCCAGATATCCAGAATTCCTCAGCAGGTCATGTGATACTCTGTTATTTAAACAGTCACATCATCTTTGTTTTCAGTATTAAAAAGACCTTCCAGACTGAATTAATTACAGGTGTTTTTAGTAGGGCTGCACGAAATAAGAAAAAACTGACATTGCAATTTTTCTAACCCTGCGATATATATCGTGATATGAAAAAATAAGTTCTGCTGCTATCCTGCACTGATCTGRCCTCTTTCTTTCTGCATGTGACAGTATGTTTATGTCTCTATTTGAGTTATTCTTGTTAGTGCTTTTATTGTGCAGGAACCTGAGTACGTTTCCTTCAATCCTCTGCATCTGTCTTCATTTCATCACACTTTTATATTAAAGGTTGCCATTTTTGTTGCAGAAGTTTCACAAAAAAAGCCAAGTTTTATTTATTGTTTTACACAAAGTTGCTTCACAGAAGCAACCCATCAAAATAGCCATAACACGTTTAGTGCCATGACTTATGTTTTAGTCCCCTGATAACACTTTGATTTAATTTGTCTCCTACATTGCAGGACCTGCAGTGTGACTGTTGTGCACACACACATTGGGATGTGTGTGTTCAAATGATGTGTCATGCAGCTCTAGGTTTAAGTAAAAATCACTTCAGACTTATGCTTCAAAACCGTGTCCTGCTGGTTCTGTTAGCTGCTGCCCGTCCAAAGGGTCGCTCGTCATTTTCTGCCTGGAATAAGGACATCCACGATCATAGTTTCCACTTTATAATCCTTTCAAAATAAAAAGCAATGGTAGAAACAGATGCTAGGATACTTTTTGAGGTTTTGCATTAGGGTAAAAAGCACGATTTGGAAGCAGCTTGGTGTGCCACTACCAGGTGTTTGTGTGAAAAAAATTGTAATTAATTATTTTAAAATAAACAGACATGAGAGTCACATCCTAATGCTGCGTTCCAGCTGTCCTCGGAGGTCGTAGTTTCGAGATTCCGAGTTCTACTTTTCAACTGGAATGCCCACTGAAATAGTTTCAAGTCAAGAGGTCAGCACAACCAGACCATACCCAAGCAGCCCGAGCATGCGTTACATCATCATTTCAACATGGCTGCCACGTTGCATGAAACTCTTTACTTTTCGGTTTTTAACAGTTCTACGTTGTTTATTATGATCCCCGCACGCGAAGCGTAAGCGGGAGTCATATTGTTTTCGTACTGTTTTTTTTTTCCAGTGATTTTTGGTCAACCATAGCACAAAAACGGCTGCACCGATCAACATGAAATTTGGCAGGACTATAGAAGAGTCTGACCTGCACTGCACCAGCCAACAGTTTTACGATAGACCCCATATTTGAGGAGGGGGCTCCTTTCAAAGGGGGGTGTCAGGACATGCAAAAAATGCTTACAACTCAGAAACTATTCAACATAGGAGCTTCAGATTTCTTTTTTTGTTTAGCTCTGATGAAGCTCTATCCATCAGGCCTACCAATGAGTCGTCCCCCCC